TATATATATTACAGTCAAGAAAATGAGATTTGTTTTCACATTACATTTTTATTTGTGAGGTCAAACATGACTTGACTTTTCTTCATAGTTATAGGTAATAAAAACACAATGGATACAAAAATATGAGTTGTAGTCATCCAGGCACAAAAGGAAGAGCCACTAAATAAATATCAGCAAAGCAAGGATTGTCTTTGTTGGACTCTCCTTAAAATGGTGGTATTATTGTACAGTGATGACCTCATATAGTAACACCATATTTAACATGATATTTACATTGTTCAAGGTACTTTTCTCCTCTTTTCTCAAAAGTTTCATTATGGTAGTGTCCAAAAAACATGGTGCTTCTATTTTGTAATTGTCTGTACTATTTAAATTGAGAATACTGAATTCCACAACTTTCAAAATGAGAATAATAATCTGACAAGACATGAGAGACTGCACAGACTCAAAGCAACTCTATTAGCTTTAATTTGTCCCATTTCTGTGAGGAAGGTAGATGTCTTCTATTGCCACGGTGATGATGACAGTGATCAGTTCTGAAGATGAGAAGCTCATTTTGGAAGCTCTTCAATGATCACCCGGGATACAGAGTTCCATCCTGTCGACGCGTCTCCGCGAGGATAATCAGCACATGTGCCCACCCAGATCCCAACATCCACCAGCCCGGCCTGGATCCCGTCACAGAGCCCCTCCACTGACACACACACACACACACACACACACACACACACCGTCAGCAATACTGTATACTCTAGTCTAATACACAGTATGTGTTATTAGTATGTGTTATTCATGTGCTATCATTAATATTAAGTAAAATACAAACACACATATAGCACAAATAATTGATTTAAGAAGAAACCTTCTACTTCTTATCTATCTATCTATCTATCTATCTGTCTGTCTGTCTGTCTGTCCTCTGTCTGTCTGTATGTCTTCTATCTATCTATCTGTCCTCTGTCTGTCTGTCTTCTATCTATCTATCTGTCTGTCTGTCTTCTATCTATCTATCTATATCTATCTGTCTGTCTGTCCTCTGCCTGTCTTCTATCTATCTATCTATCTATCTATCTGTCTGTCTGTCTGTCTGTCTGTCTGTCTGTCTGTCTATCTATCTATCTATCTATCTGTCTGTC